TTAGTTGGGGTAAAATTATCACAAGTATACCAGTTCGGGGTTTTTGATGGTCAAAAAAATAGTTCGGGATAAATTTGTCACAAGTGTACCAGTTTGAGGATTTTTGTGGTCAAAAAAATAGTTTGGGGTAAAATTGTCACAACTGTACCAGTTTAGGGTTTTTCGTGGTATTAACTCTAAGAATATATAAAACTCAAAATTCCTATCTAACCTTCCATTTAGTTAATGGTGGTTTGTATTTATTTGATTTAATTTATCTTTAATCTATTACTCATTTCAATTTTTAGAAATAAGTTAGTTTAATTAATTTAAGAATTACCAAGTTTTGTAAAAGGAATTATAATTTCATGATAATCTTCTACAATTATTCACGATATCTTTTTCAGAAACCCTTTTTGATAGATAAAGATTACCCTAAAAAGGAAAGTTTTTCTCTCTATAGAATTATGGAAAAACGAAAATGTTTTTCCTCAAAGTTTAATAAAGGGCAAAGAGATCTTTTGCAATCAAAATGGTATAATGATATGTTTACCTGACTATTTCTTAATAAACTTATTTTTTGAACGGTGCGACAATGATTACACTGGAGATCAAATTAATGTTACTTTGAAAGTCACTCAAGCATGGCAAATTGATAATGAATTTTTAGTTCAAGTGCATCTCCTCTACAAAGAAAATAAAGTTTCATCATTAATAATAAAGCAACAAAAGCTGCTTCGATTAGGTAAACAAAAATTACTAACATCGAAATTTGTCTCAGAAAAAAAGAAAAATTGTAAAAAAGTCATAATATATTGCATTTGTGCAAATTCAAACCTAAACCTTTTAATTTAGCCAATTTAGTCATAAACATTTCAATAATTTGCCAATGTCGTCCAGCCAACCAATTTTAATTGAAAATCACTCAACCGGGAGCTAACATTGACAATTTTTTATTTTTTTCTTTCTTTTCTTTTTTTTTTCATTGTGGCTAGCAATGTTTGCTAGAGCTCGCTGACCATTGGGTGAGGATTGAGAAGCCCTTGTTGACTACTGGCCAGCTGGTTGAGGCCATGTAGTTGCAGGTGAGGCTACCTTGCCCAAATCTAATTGAGGTGCGCGACCATTACTAGCACCCGACCAACACGGGCTTCAAAGCCCTCGCTCGTGGCCGGTGAGGGCTTCGCAACCCTTGCCAAGTGGCCAGCAAGCTTTGGTGCCCCTTGCCGGTCACAGTGAAAAGAAAAAAGAAAAGAAGGAAAAGGGAAGAAAAAAGGGAAAGGAAAAGTGAAAAGAAAACAAACAATTATAAAAAAAATCATAAAAAATTGTCAGAATTAACGATTTTCAGTCAAAATTGATCAGATGGATTACATTGGTAAATTATCAAAAGGTTCGTATCTAAATTGAACAAATTAAAAGTTTTGGACTGAATTGACCAAGTATAATAGATTTGAGACTTTTTTGGTATTTATCCCCAGAAAAATATGATATTTCATTTTTAGTGGAAGAAAATTTTAATTATCTATCCAATCTATTTCAAATTATTTAGAAGGTTGGGCCTTTCCAAATTTAATTTTGATCGAACAGATATTCATGAAACTCGAATCTACTATGAATTTATCTTAGTGAGATACCGATAGTGTAGAAGTCACTCATATTGAATATAAAAATGATTCTCGTAAGATTGCCTTTTAAAAAATGCCGAACAGTCTTTTTTTTTGCTATAAAAAAAAAAGTTCTTGCTTTGAATCAAGCGCTGTATATTTCAAAGGCATTATCGCAATATTTAAAAAACGAATTAAAAGATCTATGCATCTTAAAAAATTGTTTGCCTCGCTCATTCCGGTAACTTTTATTATTAACTCTCTGACTTTCTATAGATAAAGGGGCTCGTGTATTTTGACTTTATTTAACTCGAATCATCTTTTACATGTATAATTATATAAAAAAAAATTTAACTTAAGGGTGCGTTCATTTTGCGGAAAATGAGTAATTTGGAAAACATTTTCCGGAAAATGATCGCTTGTATCGTTTTAAAAAAATTAGTCAATAGAAAATATTTTATCATCGATAACAATCTATGCCTAACTATTTTCGTGGGCAGTGAAAATCTTTTCCATTCATTTATGTTTTGATCATTTTTTGGAAAATGTTTTCCAAATCACTCATTTTTCGCGAAACGAGCGTACCCTTAAGATAAACATTACATTTTAAAAGATTGAAAGGAAAGTCAGAGTTGGAAGTGAAAATAAGAGATAATTCCACTTTTGATCTCGTAGTTCATGCCAATTGTACATTCGAGTCCGCTAATTTTTAATTTGTGCAATTGAGGCTTGCAACTTATCTGATTTGTGTAATTTATCGTCACTGCACGTAATTAGGATAAGGAAAACTTCCAAATAAAGGCCTGAAGTTCCCTAATTTTCTCAAGTAAGGGCATGAAGTGGATTTTGTGTTAAATAAGGGCTTTGAGCAGCATATCAATCTCAAAGAAGGACTTGAAATGATCATGATAGTTTTAAATAAGGGCTTGACCTTGCCAATGTCGGCCAGCAAAATATTTCGATCAGTGAAAGGCATTTTCGTCCAAAAATAATTTTAATTTACTTTTTTTCCTTTCTTTTCTCTTTTGCTTTTTTCTTTCTTTTTTCTGGTTTTCTCTTTGTCTTTGCCGGTGGCTAGTTCTAGTGCTCGGCGACCGACCACTGGTGAAGCCTGAGAAGGCTTGGACGAGGGTCACCCTTGCCTGATCCCCTTGTCGGTAACAGGCGAAGCCATCTTTCGCTTGGGCTAAGCGACCCTTGAAAGCCACAGGTGATGGTCGACCTCGCCTGGGCGACGGCATTTATGGCCAGCAAGGGTGGCCCTTGCCCAGACCTTCCTGGGCTTTGCTGGCCATCGGCAAAGACAAAGAGAAAACCAGAAAAAGAAAAAAAGAAAGAAAAAAGAATAAAAAGAAAAAAATTCAAAAAAGTTAAAAGACGAGAATGCCCTTATCATTTGGAAAGTTAAACCCTTTTTTAAAACACATACAGCCACCCCTTAATTGAAATAAAATCCACTTCATACCCTTATTTGAAAAAATGAAAGCACTTTACATCTTTATTTGATACAAAGTCTATTTCATGCCCTTATTTAAGAAAATGAGGGTAATTTAGGCCCCTATTTGGAATTTTCCCATTAGGATAATATTACAGCTTTCAATAGTAAAAAAAGAAGAAAATAAACGGAAGGCTTAAGAAATTAAAACACAATTTCAAATCATTGTAGAAATAAATAAGAAAAAAGATTGTGCCTGATGCTCGAGCCGTGTGGCCTCGACAAACGCCAATGGAGAACGCAACTCGGCTGGTCGTGCCGGACCCTCACGTTCGCAATACAATTGTGGGGACTGTTGTCCCCGCTCAATTCTCCAAATTTTTTTGCAATAATTTGAAAGATTTTACAATCCATGACGTTGACCTAAAAAATAAGCCTTGCCCCCATTGATTTTTCAATGTGTATATAACTAAGTCAACGTTCAACGTTTTCCCTTTTATTTGCCCCACAAATTGAAAAAAATTCAATAAAGAATGCTCAAATTCTGAAGGGCACGTAAGCTAATCATTGAAATGGTCACACTCGATTTCTCTGCAATTGTTGATCAAATTTTCCCTCCATTTAAAAGAAAAATTTCTAGATCCATCCCAATCCGGCACCATTACCCAGCTTAGCCTCGGCTAAGCTTTCACCAAGGTCACACAACCGGTGGTGTCATCAAGTCACCTTCGCTCGCTTCGATATAAGAAGTAACTATATCTATCAATAAATTGAATCATCATTTGCTGGCTCACTAAACTATTTATTAAGGAATCGTGCGTGCATTTTTTACTCGAGGCATTGCGCGCTCGACTCTACCGACGTGCTATTCGTGAGTGGAGATAGTTCGAGCCTTACGGTTCTCGTGCGAGGTGGCGTCATCGAGTCACCTTCACTTCGATATATGGAAGTAATTACCTTAATTAGGAACGAAATCGAATCATCATCGTTTCCCGGCTAACTAAATTGTCGACTGAGGAATCGACCATGTAATCTTTTATGCCGTCGAGGCATCGCACGCTCGACCCTGCTGGTGCACTAACCGTGAGCCTCATGGCTCTCGAGCGAGAACCTTCGCTCCGAACAACGATATCTAGATCGGTACGGTATTTATTGCTTTTGAGTCGCTTCCGTTGCACCCAGTCGGATCCACGTTCCATCCTCATTATCAGTTGTCAGGAAAATGATCAAGAGTGAAATCTCCGGCCACTGCCTTTGTCTCAGAGCGCCGTCGCTTTCACTGGGATCGCCTCCTCGACGACGTACCGCCATGTGGTTTCGGTTTCGTGCACGCGGCGTTCCCTCAAAAAAGGAAAACGTCTCTTCGCGGCGAGGAGCAGAGCACCCCGCGTCGGGACTTCGGGTCTCGGGCCCCTCCGTCGGCGGGCCTCCCCCCCGGACCGGAGGCAATCCCGTGACCCGGCCGGCGGCCGAGTTGCTCCCCTCCCCCGCGGCTCGCTCGCGCGCGCGCGCGCGCCCCAGAGCCAGTGGCGTTTCCGCAATTAAGACCAAAAACCGAGGGCGGAACCGAACTTTCCCCTCATTTTCTTTTCAATTACAATTATAATTCCTAGAGAGAGAGAGAGAGAGAGAGAGAGAGAGAGGGGGTGCCTTTTTTTTTTTTCCTTTTTCTTACTCCTCTAATTGGAGCTCTTCCGACTGAGGGTCGGGGGGGGAAGGACACTTTTGCACGAAACAGGAAAAGAGGGACACAGAAAGAAGAGAGAAGAGAGGAGAGAGAGAGGGGAATCGAAGCTTACTGCTGCTGCTGCGTCAATGGCGGCCTGAGTGTTTTTCTCCCTCCTCGCCCGTCTGATTCTCCCGGTGGGAAGCTCAACCTCTCGGCCAATTCCCGTCGGGGGCGCCCCCTTGTCCCCCCTCTCCTCCCTCCCCCCGCTCCCTCCCTCCCTCCCTCCCGCTCCTCCAGCAAACCCTAATTCGCCCCCGCGCGCCCCCCGAATTCGTCCCCCGCCGCGGAATCCGGCCGCCGCCGCCGCCGCCGCCGCCTCCCGGGGGGGTGGTTCTGGTGTTGCATGGTTTTGTCGTTCTTCGAGGAGCTGCGATGGGCGGGCAAGAGAAATCCTCCTCGAACTCGAATTCGATGCAGGTGGGTAGGGTCGTCGTCGTCGCTTCTCATTTCTTCCTCTTCTGTCTTTCGTTTTCGTTTCACTGTTGTATAGAACTCCCTCTTTTCCCCTACGGCGACGAATCGCTTGAGAATTCCGCGTGGCTGGATATGGGTTTGGCTTCGTCGAGGGTCGTTCGGCGCTTCGGTTCTTGATTGACGGGGGATAGTTTGTTTTGCCGCGGGAGGGGGGGTGATGCGAGGTAGTGTGAGTGAGTGGGGTTTTGCCAATTGTTCGATTCGATTAGGTTTCTCGGATGGTCGTCGATTCGTGGTTCCTGGGTTCTTTCTAGCTCCAGGTTTAGTGGGGAGCTAGGGCTTCTATTTTTGGTGCACTGACGTTTGAACTCCACGGTCTTGTGAGGGGATGGCTTCTTGTACTCTCAATTCAAATGGATAGTGTGAATGGAAGGACAGGCTAGGTAGCTCCCTTCTGTTATGGAGGATTCCGGGCACTTTCTAGCGTGACTATAGGAATGGAATGCCGTTTTTGGGAAGATACTTTCTGAGAGTGCAGTTTATGTAGCAAGTGTGATGCTGGATGAGTTAAAGGTTAAGTTTGATTGACCATTGGTGCTTCGATTTCAGCGTGTTAAAGTATATCAACTGAATGATGAAGGGAAATGGGATGACCATGGTACTGGGCACGTCACCGTCGACTACTTAGAGGTTTGTTCCCCACTATCTTCGAGATTCTGCCGCTCCTAGATTTCAGAAAAAAATGATTTCTTTTGTTCACCTAAAGCTGAGTGTGTATTTGAATTTAAATACTGATACAGAGGTCAGAAGATCTGGGTATATTTGTGTATGATGAAGACAATGAAACATTGCTTCTGCATCGTATCAGCTCGGAGGACATTTATAGGAAGCAAGAAGGTCCTACTTCCTTTTGTTTCTCATGATACATGGGAACTTTATTTTCAATTACAATGATATGATTCAACCGCAGATTGAGTTTACTCTTCCCTATGATGATACTTTCAGATTCCATCATCTCATGGAGAGACCCTGAATACGCTACTGAATTGGCCCTTAGCTTTCAGGAGACATCTGGTTGCTCCTACATATGGTAACTATCGGTGGTTTTATTACCTTGATAGACGTACTCTGTTCGGTTCTGCTCTCTCAATATGACTATCTACATCTCGTACTTATACGCTGTCGACTTCTTGCAGGGATCATATCTGTAATGTACAGAGGAATATGCATTTTAGCAGTCTTAACAGTAAGTACCCGCGCATTCAGCCTAGTTCTAGATATTGTTCAGTTCATTGTTTTCATCTTAAACACTAGATATTTTAAAGCTAGTTTTTTTTGGCAAATGGAGTGTTTGTTGCTTTTGGATGAACCCAGGGTATATGTTATCTCGGCAGCTTTCTGAAATTTCAAGATCTTTGTCTGTCTACTTTTCGGTGACATGAATTAAATCTATTCGTGCAAACTGCAGTATCTTTTTAGAGAGCTTTTGATTCGACTCTGACTTCTTCATCTTGTCACTTATGGGTTTTGTTGCTGTTGGTGCATGTTACAATGGAAGATCTTTACTTGCAATCATGGAGCACCTTGCTTTTTGTTGAATGTATAGAAATGTCTTAGAGTTTCTAAGTATCAAGGGATGTTGACATGCTCTCTGGAAGGCTTAAGCATGAATACAATGATTTGGGGAAAACACACGGAAGGTTCTTTTCATTTGGAAAATCATAAACTCTGGTAGGATTTGCCAACCTCTACTAATGAACTTCTTTATCTTCCTCAGCTTTTATTGTAGATCCCTATTGTCCTGTCAATGCCTTTGTATTACTTCTCTGGCAAAACCTTAACCTTTATTCCATTAACCTAATTTTGATATTACTTAAGCCTTGCCTTCCGTCCATCTATCAAACAGTCTCCCATTTCACCTGCTTTCTATGTTTGTCACTGCAAGGCATGACCTTCACTAAAAACCGTCTCTATTTGTTGAAAGTCAAGTGCTGCCTTTTCTCCTTTCCTCCTTCTACTTGAAGAGCCTTCCTATCTCTTGCATTATGCCCTTCCTCTTATGCTGTTGCCACTTGTCCTAAACCTTTTTTTTGAAAAGGTTATAAATTATGGATCAGTTGTGAGGGTTTTAGCAAGTTTTTAGATTGTGTTCGTTGATAGAGAAGAGAATGCACAAAAGATCATAGAGAGAATGGCTTTTGACCTAACTTTGGAATGAGAGTTCTGTCACTAATTTTCAAGTTTGCCAGGGGAATATATAGTTCTGCTGGAAATTTCTTATCGATGAGTTTCAACAGATATAGACGGGCTAGAGATATGTGAGGGGTTTGATGTAGGGTGGTGGTGGTTTTTCGAGAAGCTCCTTGAGCTAAGCAGTATGGCAATTGCTAAGTCTATAAGTTGGTTGATTTTCGCAAATTACTGCGGAGGAGCTGGACTTGGCTTGTCTTGTAAAGGTTTTTGATTTTTTTGGCAATTGCACTAACTGTGGATATTGTTTCAAGGGTTCTCGAATTTTCACAGCCTTGAAGGTGATTGTCAACAAGGTGCTGTGGTTGGAGTTCATCTTTGTTTTTTTTTTTTTTTGGGTAGAAACCTGGTATAGATGAAGCTCTGACACTTTGGTTCCCCACTTATTTGATGAACAGAGGGATTTTTGACTAACCTGAAGTTTTAGGTTAGTCTTCTGGTTTTGAAAAAGAGGATGGTAATGATGATCTCCATGAGAAGTGGAATTGGAGTTTAGGATTTGGAACCTGTCTTTGGAAAGACTCTGATCTTTTAAGGTTTTCTGGGAAAGTTTAATGTTTGTTTTGTTTGACGAGGAAATTTGTCATCCATGGTGAATTGATTTTGTTATGGTCCGGTATAATAAGTTCGTTTTAGTGTTCAGGATTATGGTTATGCTTTTCCCAATCGGTTTGGTTGTTTCTTTAGGGTTGAATTTCTTGTAATTGCAGTGCATGGGTTTTTACCCCATGATTGCTTCATCACGAGTTCTTTAAATATCAAATATAAAGAGAAGGAATCTTGACCTACAGTCACTTTTTGCTTGCTATTGGTTCTTGATATCTTCACTTGATTGCCAATTGCGGGCATGTTTTGCTCTTATTGAAAAAAAAAAGAAAGTCAAATCATATGCTTTGAAATATGATGGAAGTAGGAGCTGGACATCTTTTAGGTTTTTTTATTGATATTTTTATTTTAGATAATTGCAATCACTTTGGTGTTGCAAAGTGTTGTAAGATATATGGATGTATCTCTTGTATTCCTATCGAATTGAGGACATTGGAAAGCTGCACATAGGTAGATAAGCTGCAAGGGTAGACCTTCAAATCAGATCTTTAAGAAAATGTCTAAAAGTGGTTTAGCAAACTGTAGTTTAAAGTACCATTTGAATTAAACACTCAAACATAGATTAAATTTTATTTTCTGATATTGCTAGACTTGCAACTCAAATGTCAGGACGAGTTGTACCTATGGTAGCGAAGAGTACATCTTAAGATAAGTGTGACTGAAAAAATATCATGCATAGCTGCACCCTCTTTTGTAAGCAGCATGATATTCGTGAATGTTTTTTAAAAGTCATATCTGTTTGGCTTCTGGTCATTCTCTATAAGGTTCACCATTCTAAGAATTAGCATCGTAACAGAAACCTGTGGAAAACTGATATAGGTTAATCCTGAGATTATTTCCTTTTCTCGTCCCAAATAGATTAACCCATGACTTGAAGCAATACTCTTTTCTCCTGAACATAACTGAAAGATCTTTATGCATAATAGTGTAACAGCCTCCTGAGTAATCATCTGCCTCTAGTAGGGTTTGAAGGAAGCTGTTTGGTGCATATGTAGGATTTACTTACTGATAACCTGTTTGAATTGTGGTTTGTAGTCGAAATGCGAGAAAGTATTATGTAAATATCTGAAGTGGGGTTTGATGAGAGTTTTCTGGTGCATGACTGGTATTTGCTCGCTGATAATCTGTTTGGCTAGAAGTTTGTGATCACAGAGTTGTGAGAATCAATTAATGTAGCTGCTGATATCTTTCCCAATTGTTCGTTACATAGCTACTTACCCAACAGCAGTGATCTGGTTGTAAAAACATATAACAAATCTTAGGTCACATACCTTAGTGAAAAAGATATTTGACTTGTTAAATTTGGTCTCTTGGTATCCAAGTGAAGTAGGTGAATTTATGTGATGCAAGGTGAGTGTGGCTTTAGTTCTGAAATGGGACCATGGATTCAAGTAGAAGGTTTCAGTTACAATAAAATTTGGGACCCACACAAGGATATAATATGAAAATGCAAAAAGCATTTGTAATGTAGAGATGTCAGATTTTATTTGCCTCACTATGCATTTGTGGTAGGATACTCCGTGAATTGTTTTCTTCTCTTCAGACAGAGGGAATCTAATATTTCTGATTTTTGTCCTGAACATTTCGAAATTCACATAACATATTTCGAGGTCTCAGTGAGTGTAGTTCCTAACCCTGTTAGTTTTACCACTTTTGCATTTTTCCTTGCTCTTGTTATCTTAGAACCATGTTAATAGCTGCAATTTTATGTTTCTAAGTTTTTCCAGTTTTTCTTCCACAGACAATACGTTTCATAGTGTCAATAGCGAGTTGAGGGAGTTGCCGCCTGTTGAGCTATCCACTCTTCCTCTAATACACAAGGTACTGCTCTCTCTCCCTCTCTCTCTCATACTTTTAGCTGCACTGGTCCATCTTCCTATGGCTACTGGTGTTTGAGGTGGAAACATAAGGAGTGGGCTTTAAGAGGATTAGCTTGTCCATTTGCGATTACTTCTTTTGACATCAGATTGAGTTGCAGGCTCCTCTCCATTTCTGTCATCTTGCAAAACAACCCTAGGGGGTGAATTTAAAGTGCAAGATGGTGATGCTTTATTTTAGCTACTTAACACATGTTTGACATTATAAGTAAAGAAGGTTATCAACTCTCACTCTCTCTCTCACACGCACGCACGCATGCTTGCTCGCATGCGTGCTTGCAGGGAGAGCTCCCCTAAAGGCGCAAATGAGCAATTCTTCTTGGTTGGGATCACTGATGGTACTTATTAAGTTGCAATTAGTATCTCAGATGTTTTTCTGTATTTAGTTAAGAGTTCAGAGCTAGCAATCGTTCTTTTATCCTTCGAGGCTTTTGTGGAAGTTCCACTCTTCAGTATTACTTGTGGGATGCCGTTTATTTATATTAAGGCTAGAAAAGTTCTACCTTTTCTATTTCCAGTTAGTAAAAAGCTATTAGTTTCAAGACTCTCCTCTTGTGTCTCAAATTTCCATTTACTTATAATCTTATCGACTACTTCAATTATCTCTGTTGATTTCTGTCTTGCAGACCGTGTATGAAGGCCGGGTTACTGATAAGATGCAGCTGATAGATCTTATTCTGAATGATGTAAGCTTCTGTTAACTTTCCCGTCCAATGGACATCAATGTAGGTGTGGTCATGGTAGGCCTTTTTATTTTGAGTTATCCGATATTTAGTTTACATTAATGAACTATTAAATAATGAAGTTTGTGCAGTTTATGTTATGAGTTTTGTTCTTCCAGTATCATTGTGGGTCAAGTTTATTATCAATTTCGTTGCCGTTGTACATAGACATATGAATACTACAGTAGTCTTGTGAGTTGTAGTGGGCTTTGGACAGTGCTTTTAGTACAATCCTCATTGTTCTCCGTCCATCCTTTAATGTTTACGTAAACTTTGATGTTGGAAACCATTGTTTTTAATGGAAGTTACTATCTCAATGCAGCTAGAGTTTCTCCGGAAGCTAATGCATTTATTCAGACTTTGTGAAGACTTGGAAAACCTCAGTGATCTTCAGATGATTTGTAGAATAGTCAAAGGGATAAGTAAGAACCTTTAGCTAGACATTTCTCACAGTCCTTAATTTGTTGGCTTCTTCACAATTTTCTCCTCAGCCTGACTGATTTCCATCTGTTTGTGCAGTTTTACTCAACAGCCCTCAGATCTTTGAGAAAATTTTTGGAGATGAGCTGATTATGGACATTATTGGCTCCCTTGAGTGTAAGTTCCTTCTCAGGAGAAAATCTGTCAAACGCTTTTAGATAATTATTAAATGTCTGTCATAATGGGATGACACTTGTATGGACATATGATGTTATTGGAGTTAGCTATACCATGGCTCCATTAGCATCCCTGGACCTAAGGCACTTTGAAGTGCCATTCGCACTACGATTCTTGAAACTTCAAAATTATTTTAAATAGTAATCATTAGTAAGTGGAGAAAAGAAAGTAAGGAGAATATTCTGATCATATTGGAGAAGGTACTCGATGTTACGACCTTTACCAGCCAAAATTAAAACACTGTTTGATCCCGTTGCTTCCTTAGTTGTTGTTGTTGAATCATCTTCTTGCTGTTTTAAAAAACCGTCTTATTAAACGTAAATGTTGAATGTGCTGTCATTTTATCATAGACCATTTTTTTTTCTATTTTTAGTTAATATCATGCGACGACTATGATGTTCTGTATTTGTTTGCAGATGATCCTGAGGTTCCTCATGTCCAACAGCATCGCAATTTTTTGAAAGAACATGTGGTATTCAAGGAGGTGAGACGTTTTATCTGGTAGCGGCGTGATATGTTCAAGTGTACCGATCTATACGGAAAGTTCTGCTTAACAGGCTATTTTCCTTTTTTAGGCAATTCCAATTAGAGATCCACTTGTCCTATCGAAGATACACCAGACATATAGAGTTGGTTATTTGAAGGTGATTTCCATATGAACTACGTTTTGACTGAATTCCTTTTGTAGATCCTTTTCTGACATTAAATTGTCTTCCTTAGGATGTTGTTTTGGCTAGAATGTTGGATGACACAATTATTGCAAACCTCAATTCCATCATCCATGCAAATAATGCCATTGTAAGTATAAGATAGATGTCTTTTAAGTTTGTTGGGAATGTCTGTACTGAATTTATATTCTCTCTTGTAGGTTGTTTCTTTGTTAAAGGATGACAGTACCTTTATTCAGGAACTGTTTGCAAGGTTAAAATCTCCGATAACCCCTTCAGAGTCGAAGAAAAATTTGGTAATTATATTGTTAACATTATTTATTGGTCTTCGATTTCCTTTTTTGGATCAACATCTGGGATTTGAATGACGCATTTTTTGGGTAGGATTCTTAATGTAAACCTGAACTTTTCATGGTACTTTGCTTGAGAGATTCTTGGTTTCTCGTGTCTTTGTTGTTATTCTGTTCTTATTGATTGCACTTGCACAGCTTTTAAATGATTAAGTTATAGCAATTTGTTGTTGAATTGCATGGCTTTAACTCTGATCGTAATTTATTGGATGCCTTTGACGTGATCAGATAAAATGTACCGTAGAATGCAAGTTTATCCTGAAGTTGGAGTTGGACGCGCCAGTCTGTGGAATGATTAAAGGAATACGAATATGCCTTTATGTGGAATGTATATGTTAGGATAGTGTTAAGAAATCACTATTTTTTAAAAGAAAATAACAGGAAGGATTCGGGAATCTCCCTGGGGATATTAGTGTGCATTTCTGCTGTTGCCCTTCCCTTTTTCCTATTGTTTGTCTCCTTTTCTTTTCCTTGGTCATTTTATTTAGGTATGGAAAAAGTTCTTGCTGATCATTTTTCGGCTGCCATTACTTAAGAGTGACAAAGTTTTTGCTTGCATGAAATAGTAAGATATGTCTATCCTATTAGCACATACTTTTTATGATTTCATGTAGAATAACTTTATTGCCTGATCATGAACTCATGCTTTTCTATAGCACGATGATAATCAATACCATTAGCTCTCTTAAATGATCAGTATCCTGTTCTGAAGTTGGTTGCTGCAAGACAGTGGAATTTCTTCGATTTCCATATGGAAGCTTATAAATAAGTAATGTTATGTTATCCCGAAACACACTCCTTCCAAATGGTTTGATTAAATGTTGTCATTTCAATTGATAATGTGGAAAAATTGTGTATGTGAATTTGCTCAAAGTAGTTTAGTCTTTAGAGGGAGCTCACCTTGAATTGATAAGTTTATGATAGTTTGACCCCTTTGTCTCTTATCTATACAAAATTTGGGTATGGTAGGCTGACAGGAAATTAGATTATTCCGTTCTTTGCGCCACAGCAGGACGCGAGCTTTACTAGTATGACTTGGAACATGCAGGATGCACATAGGACCATCAGTCCATGTTGCATGTGAAGTGAGAGATTATATGTATCTGGGTGTATAGTACTTGTTGACTGATGAAAACACATATACATCTATTCATCTGGAAACTTTGAGGTTATTTTATTAGACGGGGCTTGAAATGTTGATTTTAATGTTGGTAATTAGAGCATCTGATCTTGCTTTAGTGCTGTTTGGGCGTGGTTTTTTGTTATCGTGGATCAGTTTGTTTGTGAGAATGATTTATATCAGTTGACTTTTTTTGTCTGTAGTTCTCAAACATTTAGACCTCTCTATTTGTTTGTGCAACACAGAACTTTTTCCTGCATATGCTAGATTTCTACAATAATGGGAGTTTGCCCGGATATGACGACCAAACAAAATATCTACTTTAAGTTTTATCCATTCTCTTCTAGATCCGGTTCCCCGATGTTCACACTGTTATTAATCTCTTGATGTAGGTGTATTTCTTGCACGACTTTTGTAGTTTAAGCAAGAGCTTACAAATGGTCCAGCAGCTCCGGCTTTTCAGGTATGAGTTTATGCAGGATTTTTTTTTCTGAAGATACTTTTTATTTAGTTTTCATTCTTGATTTTTGAGATTACAGTGGTTCATGCATTATTTTTTGTGACAGCCAGTTTTATCCAGTAGAGTCTTGATTTATCCTCGCTGTTGCACTACGTGTATCTTATTTGATGAGACTCGTATTTTGCAGGGATCTTGTGAGTGAGGGCATTTTTGACATCATTGCTGATGCTTTGCAGAGTGAGGACAATAGGCTTATACTAACTGGGTAAATACTCCTAGATGTAACTCCATCCATCACTCACATAGATAAATATGCACTCACGACAAAAGAAAGAGATGGTGAACAGAAGACAAATGCACTATTGAAGATGTCATCCTAATTATGTGCCATTTCGGTGGATGCAGGACAGATATTATTATTCTTTTTATGAATCAAGACCCAAATCTTTTGCGTTCGTATGTTGTACGCCCAGAAGGAGCTTTGCTTTTGGGACTTCTGGTATGGCTTTCGTGAGGATATGTCAATGCACTGCATGAGATGGTATTTTTGAAAACTGAACTTTTTGAACCTAAAATACCAAAGTAGGTTGAAGGACGATCTTAATAGTTGTAAAACAGAGTACCTTTTGTATTGTTCTAGTGCAATTCTTTTTGTACGATCAGTAATACTAGAACCAATGAGCTATGAGTGCTGCAAGCATTTCGTAAATGAATTTGAGCGGTTTTTCTTTTTTAGGTAACGGGTATTTTTTTAATTAAAAAGTGATTGATAGTTTTCTGTTTTTGACGCTTTTACAATTTTAACCTTTGAATTTTTTTTTTATGAGAACAATAAATAAAGTCAGAAAATGGAGATATTTCCTTTAAAAGAAAGTAGATAATGCAAGGGTAAATTTGGAAAGCGAAAGCGAGACAAACTTCACTTTTGGCTATATATATGTTAAGGTTTGATTTTTGCCTGTTTCAATGCAGTCGGTTCCGTGTTAAGAGTAAACAATGATGGTGTTCCTGCTAAAATATAGCTTGTGACTTGTAGGTTAAAGGAATGGTGACAGATTTTGGTGATGACATGCATTGCCAGTTTCTTGAAATTCTTCGAAGTTTGCTGGACTCATATACTTTATCAGGAGGACAGGTTCTGCCTAATCATACACTTCCTCATCTGATTTTTGCTTTCCTCATGGTGGTTGGATATTTTAGGATTTCTAGGTTTCTATTTTGCCTTTTGGTTGTTCTCTCTAAGTCCCTTGCTAATTGTCCTCTCAATTTAATAAGTACATCCGTCTGTGATTTTATCTCATCATCTATGTGTATATCGTCATTTTGATCTCGATATCATCAGTAAGGAATTATTTGCTAACTTTTGATTCGATTTTTTTTGAATCACTGTACTTTACTTCTTTTGCCATATGATCAATTGATTATGAGTTCTCAGCAATGCTAGAATAGGTTCTCAAATAAATTTAGCTGGAAATTTCAAAAAGTAGAACATCTTCTTTTGGTGGCCCAGTTGAGTGAAAATGCACAACTTGTCTTCTAATGTAATCTAATCAACGAACACATGGTTAGTTGAATTGACCAACTCAAACCCCAAACTCCCATCAGAGGCAACAATGTCAAAGTTGCTCCTGTCAAAATTTTGAATCTATAAACTTAACCGAAGAACCACAAATACGACTATAGAATTGAACCCCAACAGCTCTTATGCTTTTTAGTAAGGATTTGCATTCTTGGACTTATTGTACGTGATTCTAGAGATACTAATTTCCCATTAAAATATTAAGCTAAACAGGGTAGATAAACCATGTTCAAACTTCATCCTGTGAGCCAATGGATATGAAAATGAAGTTGCAAGATTATTTTGTGCCAGAAAAGTCTTCTTAAACCATTTGAGGCATCAACCACATCATTTGGATGGAGTTTTGTATTTCCGATCTTCTTCTAGCTAGTCAAGACTTTGCCACTAAGGCTAGCCCCATGAATTGAACCATTGGGTCTTGTGTTTTCTGTATCACTCGGTTGGACTACTCAAGGGGGATAAATATGTATGTTGCGCTACCCTATTCGTCTGTCATTCTATTTGATGTATGTGTGTTTCTGCTTTGTGCCAAGTATAAGCTGTTCAATTTTCACATGGTGATAGCTCTTTGAAAAAAATTGTTTCTCTGAACTTGGACTGATCTTGTTTATTCTTTGTTCAGAGGGACAGTGTGATCGAGATTTTCTATGAGAAGCATCTGGGGCAGTTAATTGATGTCATTGTAGCGTCTTGCCCCTCTGTCACGTCTCATTCATCGAGAAAAGAAATGGGTTCTGGAAGAGTCAAAACTCAGCAGAGAACGAAGCCTGAAGTACTGTCAAACATATGTGAATTGCTTTGCTTTTGCGTTCTGCACCATCCATATAGGATAAAGTACTTTTTCATACACCCTTACCATTTTGATATTTTATTAATATAGTATGTTAGTCACATATAATTTTAACACTCCAGTGAATTAGACTTGAGAACTAATTATGTCTTCTCTTCTCTGGTTGCAGATGTAACTTTCTTCTTAATAATGTGGCAGATAAGGTTTTGTTGCTGATGCAAAGAAGAGAAAAGTACCTTGTAGTTGCTGCTGTCCGTTTTTTTCGTACTATCCTCTCCCGTCACGTAGGTGGTTCTTTGTTGTTGCCCATGTTGATGTTAATTTATGTGGTAGGATGCAGCGAGAGATAAGTAGTGTCATGATTTCTCCTTTGATCCATAATTTTGAGCATGAGGCAAGCCTTGCATTGTATCAATGAGAGCACGTATATAGTGGATGGAAGCTTTAATGTTGAATCTGAAAGACACATAATCAATGAACCACTAATGAGTCTTATGACGTTTCTTATGTGTTTTCATGTGGCAACTTGGTGATGTGTTTCTGATCTGCAGGATGAGCATATCATAAGCCATATAGTTAGGAACAACCTTCTCAAACCAATTGTGGATGCTTTTGTGAGAAATGGTGATCGTTACAACCTGCTAAATTCTGCAGTCTTAGAACTTCTTGAGCACATCCGCAAGGTTTGTATGCCTGTACCATGTTTTCACTCATTCAGTTTCTTCTCCGCACAAACGAATGCTGTGAATAAGTGTACGGCATCACTTGCATGGAGTGATCAAGTTGATGACCCTTTTCATGCAGGAAAATCTGAAACCGTTGCTTAAACACATAGTTGATTCGTTTTGGAACGAATTGGTTAAGTTTGAGCACCTGCCTTGTATCCAGTCTTTCAAAGTCAAGTATGAGCAGGTATGATGTATTGTGCCTATCCCTGTTCTCTGCTTTCAAAGGAAACTAGTCAGTCTAAATCTCTAACTGGTTTTCTTCCAGTGCTTGGAGAATGGTGGAACGAGAGGCCCTGTTAACGTGTCAGATCCCCGGAAAAGAATAGATGAGCGCGCTTTGGAGAAAGAGGAGGAGGACTATTTTAACGAAGACAGGTCTACCTACACTATCCGTATGATATTTTGTCCTTTTGTTTGCTTAGTTTTCTCGTTCATGACTGTCTACTTTTACTCAGTGATGAAGAAGATACAGCATCAGCGTCTGCGTCTCAATCTCGGAAGGTACAAGCACAGCCTGCTCTATCCAATGGAGTTTCAGCAAGCCATCAATCATTAAGGTGCTTGGATGCCTAAACTTCAGAATTTTCTGTCTAGCATACCCTACATTTATGGTCTAACGCATACATTAACCTTGGTTTTATAGTCCAAAAACTGCTGGGCTGGTTGATTACGAAGACGATGAAGATGACGAAGACTATAGACCACCGCCTAAGAGACAGAAAGATAACCCAGATGATGAGGAAGCGACCATGGATTCCTTCAGGTTGAAGAGAAAACTGGCTCCTAAGGATAAGGAGCCCGATATATCCAAGAGGCCACGGCTGAACAAAAACCCCAAATCAAAAGACTCTGTGTTTGCAGCTTTGTGTTCAACACTAAGTCAAGCAGTGCTACCGAGTAAGAAGACTGCAAGCATCATGCATAGTTCTTCACAGGCTGGGGATGGAGACAAGGATGCCCATGAACAAAATCACAAGGAGTTCTCTCCTACAAGAGGCTCTTCAGATAGTAGCAGTTCAGATGATGAGACCCACAAGGAGAAGGAATCTGCCAGTCCTCGGAGCTGTTCGGAGTGCGTACAAAGCACCTCGGATAATAGGCAGTTGGGGACCGAGGACACCTCATTGGTACAGCCAAAATCATCACCGGAGATGGCTGTGAATGGATCCTAGCTCACATTTAGTCTTTGAAGTGAGAATATCTTATCATTCATTCGACTATGGAGCTGCAACAAGGCAAAATCGGCCCCAGAGTTGTCAAGCAGCATCGGCCAAGAATACCAAAAGAGAGGGTATATACAGAACACGGTTTTGATCTCTCCGGTTGATGTTGGAACAGATGCTGTTTTCGTTACGCGGTGCAAGAGGGGGAGGGGACGACCTACGTGGTTATGTGGTGAATCACCTGTCTTACCTACGTGTTGCGTTGGCTATGTACTTGTTGCTTCTATAAAATACTCGGGCAATTGTTTCCCTTCCTCCGAACGTTTTTTTTCGCGATTTCCCTCTGTATTTTGCCCTGTGGTGCGAACATGCAATGTGGTTGGGGCATTGATATAAGCTCTGATTTTGTAGCATTTCTTTTATTTTCCCCCCTTTTTTTCCAGTTTCAGTGGTGGGGTATGATAATCTAGGGTTGGCTTAGAGGAATTGGGTTGAGAGGTTGGAGCTTTTTCCGCGCCTTTCTGTTGTTTCCCTCCCATGGCAAGAGCTCAAAAGTTTTCTCATTATAGTCTTTACATTCTTATTCATGAACTTGATGTAAATTGTAATTTGGAATTGGTCCTCTCTTAAGAAAATTTTGATAGCACTTTTCCATCTAATGTCAGACGCTTGTGTGCATAATTACTGCACATGTACAGAGTTGGGCATCATTGTGTATTCAGTTCATCTTCTCATCTTGTGTCAGTAGAGCATGACAGACTTGAACGTCCAAAGGCGTGATGATTCTGACATAGATCAGTTTATTTCTTCAAGGGGACTAGGTTGTGGCATTTGTCCCTGCGATTCCTCCCAATCGTTTCATGTCACGAACAGAGCCGACATGGACGCTCTTGTCACGGAGCTCGCTAAAAGACCCGAACGAGTTTTACCGGGTTAAGTCTGGATGGAGTTGAGATAATCGGAAAGGATTGTTGCTGCCCTTGTTCTCCGTTATGATATTTAAAACACAATTAAATCGTAGTAAGGAGTGAGGAGAAAAATGAAATGATAAAAACGGTTTTTAGAGGGCTAGAGTGTTAGAAAGTGGCATGGGAATGTGGATTGAAGAATGGTGAAAATGAGAGGAGGAGGGGGCCAATTAGAGAGGGTATTCTTTTTCCCTCAACGGTGAGTGGACCAGCGACCTGTTTAACTATTGGGCCCACACTTTGGAAAATGGGCCTGGGGCGGCCCACCAGGGATATGGGCTGACCAGACGCAAGCCCAGTCGGGCTCGGCGCCCAACGAGCCGTGCCCTATTTTCGGGCGTGGCCACCCCCCTCGCGGAGCCGATGCGGCGCAAAGCTCGGGATGCAAAGTTTGGGCTCGACTCAACTCCTGCTCGGTGGTCGGTTCGAGTTCGGTCGAGAATTAAAGTACATATGTCGGAACTCGATCCGAATAGAGCACAGCGATGCGATACCCGAGCCTGACTCGGCTCGTGTTATAATCAATTTTGAAAATGTATTTCCACCGAAGATCAATAAGTCATAACATTTTCCATTATATCATGTAATTTTGTAGGTTTTATGTCTTTTCTCAATATCCTTTACTTTTTTTTTAAAAAAATAAAAATAAATTGGAAGCACGATTATGTTGGCCGGTACTCATTCAATAGAGCTCGAGCTATTCCACGAGTAGCTTCACGCAACTTCGCCGCTAAAAGAATAGCACGTCTCGCCGCTTTTTTATTTTTCTCATTTTTTTTTAATCCCTTTTATCATTTTCCGGAAAAAAAAAAGAATTTGCTCTATTTTATTTAATTTAAATTTGCCTCCTTTTCTCTTTTTTGCTGCTGCGACACGTGGCCCCCGAAACCGACTCCCGGTAGTCGCCACAACGCTCGGGTTCCCGTTTACCGGAAAAACCGACACGTGCGCGCGGGAGCGACACGTGTCCACCCCCTCATGCTCCTCCTTCCCTCTCTTTCTCTCTCTCTCTCTCTCTCTCTCTCTGAACATCGCTCCGTCGCAGCGAACTTTGAAGGAGATTCTCTCCGATCGACGGCGACGACGAAGGAGAAGGAGAAGGAGAAGGAGCAGAAGAAGAAGATCGAGGAAGATGGAGGCTCGGACGCACTCGCTGCTCAACGAGCTCAACTTCGACAAGGGCGGCTTCTTCGACCTCGGCCACCCGCTGCTCAACCGCATCGCCGAGAGCTTCATCAAAGCCGCCGGGGTAAAGCATCTCGCCGATCCGATTTCCTCGGTCGCCTCTCCTTTCCTTTCCTTTCCTTTCGTCACTAGCAGGGACGAGCGGGGCTCGGCCGCGGTACGGAACGACTGGACGTTCTCGATTCGCGTTAAAATCGCGGCCACCGTGCGTTGATCGCGATCGCGTCCATGTTTACAGCGTGTTCAGATTGTGTGCGCGTGTTTGTTTTTTCCCCGGGAAAATGTCGCGTGTAATCGAGCATCTGCATCGACTTTTCGTGATGTTCGAACTTTACTCGCAGATTGGAGCGGTTCAGGCCGTGTCGCGGGAAGCCTACTTCACGGCGGTTGAAGGTATGATGAGTTCCTTGGGGGAAGAGCGTTTGTACTTGGCGTCGTGTGTTGAATTTTGAGAGGAGGATGGACGGTATCGTTTTACATTGTTGTGATAGCGTCTGTTTCTGTTGAGATGACGAGAGAGTGGCGGGTGTTAACTTAACAGGCACAGGACTGGATTCGGGCAATGGCGTGCCGGAAATTCCAGGTGCGAAGAAGCATCGGTTCCCCGAGCTGAGAGGTATGCGCTCGAGTGCTGAATTCCTGTCCATTTGCTCATCTATAATCTGTGGAATCGGGATTGAAGGCCAATTGCTACGCGAATGATGACTTTCTGTCCTGTTTATACATATTCAATGTATCAATCCTAGATTACGGGTATGTTTTGCCTTTCTCATCGTCGTTCTTGTGTGCTGTGTAGGAGCAACCAACAGGAATTCCCTGGAGGCCATGGTGAGTCTTACAAGCATAAACTAATGTGATTCGCTGCGTCATCCTAAGTTATTGTGCTCTTGATTAATGTATTCTCGTTTGGCTCATCCAGGTGAAGAGCACTGGCAAAGAATCCCTGCAGTGGGGTAAGCATGTTACAATTGCTCGATTCTGTGTCTCCGCAATTTTGTAAGTAGAGGATTTAGGGATGGTTAGGAATAAGAGATTTTCAGCTTGAGAATTGTTCGTCGAGATTCGTTAACATGGGCTTGGCTTGAAACTCCCGATTGAGTGATGAAATATGAACTGAGCACTGTTAGTGACGAGATGGTTGTTTGGTCTGCTGTGCAGGACTGGCTGCAGGGGTGTACTCGGGTTTAACATATGGGTTGAAGGAGACCCGTGGAGCTCATGATTGGGTAATGAGTCCAACTTTTCGTTGATTGAATAATTACTTAGTGTGTGGCACATGACGTCTTGTTAGCGCAAGCGAGCTTTTATATTTTCTTTCTGTGGTGGTTTGCATCTGTGCTGCATGTGTCAGATTAAAGTCTCGCATCTGTTGTCGAGCTTGGGATGGCATAATGGCTTTACTTGGAACCTCCAAAGTTCAATTGGGAACAAATGGGTTTTCACGACTCCGGGTCTTGATGGCGAATCGTTATAGAACTGTGTTTCTCTGTGTTTACACCAGCTTATCGAATGCTATGTTGCAGAAAAACAGCGCAGTCGCAGGAGCTATCACGGGCGTGGCGCTCGCGCTCACGTCGGATGACACGTCCCACGAGCAGATTGTGCAGTGTGCCATCACCGGAGCCGCGATCTCCACTGCGGCAAACCTCCTCTCGGGGATATTTTGACGTGCCCAGAGGTGGGCCTCTTTTGTTTGGAGAAGAATCGTTAGTTTCCCCTTCGACTTCTTAGAATAAGCATGGACCATAGGATCTTTGTAAAGTTGTTCTGTCCGGACTGGAAGATACTTCTAAAGCGTCTGATTGCGAAGTGTTTAATACTGGGCAACGTTTTGCTTGTTCCCGGGCGAGAGAGAGTTTAGGATGGCAAGAGATGGCTAGAGCTAGTTTGATGATGGTTCAGGTTCTTGTTGAGATTAAAAGCATCATGTTTCATTTCTTCCCTTTCTCAGTTTCGGCTTCTTGGTTCGGCTCAAAGTGATCAAATTCTTGTTGGCATGAATCTTGATCTTTATGTCGTCAGTCACGATCAAATTCTTAAACTTCCCTGCATTTGTTGTGTTTGTCCGTCGGTCCCCGGACCCCCGGACCCCTGGACGGAGTCCATCCGATCGACTTCATGAGGAGGTTGTAGAAGTATGCAGTTATCTGCTATTGAAGCTATATTCCATGATTTGGCAAGACAGTATCTGTATATGCCCGCGGTGTCGATTTTGGTTCATTTACAGCATGCTGTGCAATCAAATATTACCAATGCGGACCACGCTTAACATTGTCTAAACTTATATAGTTTAGATATTAGAGGTAGCCAACAGCCCACATTTCGTAACTCGAAAAAGAATATAGCTGCTTTTGGATTAGTGGGTAGAAAACACTATTTCTGCACTTTTTAGACTATCTACGTGAACTTGTGGGGGAAAAAGTAAGTGAAAGTGGTACAGAAACAGAAAGAACAACCTGAAGATGGGAGTAGGTGAAGACGAGAATGGCATCGGAATTATGGCATAATCATTGTAGTGGATTGGCTTGTAAAACTATTCATCTAAGTCTACTGACATACCTAGCCGAGTCGCTATGCTTCGTGGTTTTGGCCGGGGGAGGTGGATTACGTCCAACCCATGAAATTCGACCCGACACAAGAAATTGCTTTATCAGGTTCAGTTTATTTCGCGAAAAATAAATGATTTGAAAAAAGAAAAATTATGTGAAAATAATCGCTCGTATTGCTTATGAGAACAAATATACGAAAAATATTTTCCTCGTCCACGAAAATGTTTAGAAATAAATTTTTTTGACAATGAAAAAATCTTTCATCGATTAATTATTTTAATTCAAGTCATTCATTTTTCGCGAGAAACGTAGCCCTATCGATTCTGGGCGCGGCCCAGCCCAGTGATATGGACACGAGCCCAGCCCACGGTCTCAGGTTTCCATTTATCTGAATAATAATCCTCTTTCCTTCACGGCTTTCTTCCATCCCATTCCATTTCGTCAGACCTCGAGAAAATCTCATCACCTCCTCTCCAAATCTTGCGATTCCGCTTCGCTCGCTAGGGTTTCAGATCTGCTTCTCGAGCTTCGTCCTCTGCCTCTGGTACGTCCCCCCCTCGACTTTCCCCTCCAAAGTCCGCTTCTTTCTACATGTTTGAATCCGATGCTCAACTGGGTTGCCGGTTTTAGGGTTTTTCCCGTCGCGTTTCGTTTCGAATCGATGGTTTTCGCTCCATTTTTTGATTAGATAACAAGTTCGTATGCATGTATCTATGCGATCGATGGTTCTTGGCTGTTTTTCAAGTGCTTCGTGGGTGTCTTTTCTTGATTTCATAGCCGTTGATTGTGGGTTCTTGTTTCGGGGACAGCTTTCGAAGCACGATCCACTTTACTTTGCATTTTTACTTGTTTGTTCATTGTTTGGATTGATTGATCTCGGCGAATGGTTTTTCGTGGGTTAATTGGCTGTGAGCTTGTTTCGTTCGTGCTTTAAGAATTTGGGGCGATCTTTTTTTTCTTCACTGCAGGCTGGAAAGAAATTGATTGGTGTCGGGTTTGGGTGATTTGGAGGATTCTGAACTGAGGAATTGTGCTCTGGGGGGATGTCGAGTAAGGAAGAACAGAAGGCTCAAGATGCTGCCGAGCGGATCAAGGCCGCTGCTCTGAGCGCCGCGAAGGGTCTTAGCCGCGCTCAGGCCGAGCGAGCTGCCACGGCCGCCGCACGTAATGTCAATGCTTATGGGCAAAAAGAGGAAGGGCCCAGTAGATGGCAGGAGAAAAGGGAAGCGAAGAGACAGATGTATTTGATGAGTACTGAGAAGGCCGTTAAACTGGGCGAACGGAAAGACTTGAAGGCTTCGGTCTCTACTATTGGTGGCTCGGCGCAATGCCAGAAGTGCTATCAGCCGGGACATTGGACTTACCAGTGCACCAATGAGCGCGTCTACATTTCACGACCGTCGAGGACCCAGCTGCTTAAGAATCCCAAATTGAACGCGGAAGCTCGGTTATCTTATGAGCAGGAAAATCCAGATATTAAGGAGGAGAAGACTGAGAAGCGCTCTAAGAAAAGTAAAAGGAAATACAAATCTGATTCGGATTCTGCTAGTGACAGTGAGGCTTCTGTTTTCGAGAGCGAGAGCGAGTCAGCATCTGGATCGGATCGCTCTTCCAGGGAGAGTAGTTCGGCTGACAGTTCATCATCTGATTCGGAGGAAGAGAGGAGGCGGCGGAGGAAGAAGAAGAAACAGAAGAGCAGGAGGCGTAGGCGGTACAGTTCATCGTCTGAGTCATCTGATTCTTACTCCGCTTCGGAATCGGATTCTGATGACAATAGCAGCCGAAGGAAGAGCAGACGGCACAGGAAAAGGCGCTGAAGGTGCAGTATGGATTAAGGGAGTTGTGCATGGCATAACTGTGGCATGCGATGTGATTATTTTCGAGTAAGCACAAGCTCCATTGGTCTCTTGACCATGGTTAATCTCATATCTCCTCTGGGGAGGCTCTGAAACGAGGTTTAGTAGATCCTGTGGACTGGGATGCTCTTAGATGCATAGGTATTTCCTTATATTTTGCTTATAGATCCGGTAGTTGATGGAAATGTTATTCTGGGATTGCTTGTAGTGAATTCCCGATACATCTTTTCCTGGTGTTTTCTTCTTGTTGTAAAATGTGAAGCAGGTATTTGCTTTATCTCAGAAGTACGATCTTTTTCTGGATTTTGGCAGTTCTACAACCTTTACCTGGTTTTGATGATTTGTTTCAGTTTCTGGTGATATTATTGACATTGTGGTTGCTGGTGCAGCATAGTCTCTGTTAGTTCTACTTATGACATATGCGAGACAACTACCGTTTATTATATCAGACCATCTTCTATCTTTTGTCGTGAACTTTTCTAGATTACTTGACCAACAGGAGTTTGTATGATTGATTGTGCAATCTTTCCATTAACACCAATCAGTTTCTTCTCTGACCAACGTTTTCGGATCTTCTCATCAAACATCGAGCCCCTCCCAATTTTTGCTCTTCATTCGGTTGTCTCCTCTTGAATTGCTTCATTGATTTCCCATGAAGTTACCGAGTTTGTTTGGACACGTATAAATACAGGGCATTGATAGTTGAGCATGAGATGATACTGGAATTCACATTGCCCTAGGCATTAAAAGAATCGTTTCAGTGGTTTATCAGGAGCAAAAGCATACAACAAGACGAGGAGGATGGCGAATAGATGTACTCTTTTTTTTGTTTTTTGGTCGAAAGATGTACTCTGATACCGTGATATTCTTCGACTCCTGATACGGTAATTTGGCTTTTCTCGCTGTAACCAAGAGAAAGCTCTAGGCATTGCTGGAGTATGCCGTTCACAGTGTGACTTTTCCTTTGATGAACATTAGTCTTTTACTACTAGTCTTGCACAACGGACACAAAATCAGTGGTTGATCTGAGTGTTCAGAGACTCATTATTTTAGTTGAAGGTCGTAAGTTTGATTCCCCGGACTATTTTTGAAATCTTGGTTAGTACATGAAGCGCGGACTTTGTCGCTTTGGTTTAGGTGTATCGATCATGGCTTCCTACTCGCATTGTGGTGGGATAGAGATGATGGGCTTGTCTAATGGATAGTGATGTAAAACTTGAAGTGGATTCTGTCTTTATCCACAAACACATGAGCTCAGGAAAAGAATTAGTTGTTGAAGGATGTGGATGATTCAAATTTAGATTTAGGTTTAGAATAGTGTGGAGATTTTAATCTTTCAATTTAAGATGAGAGAGATTCATGGATTACAAAAATTAACTGACTCATTAAAATATCCTTTTCACCATCATATCTAAAATTGGAATTTCAGGACCTCTTCAGTAGATCATGCAGACATGTCCTCCGTATTTTCAGACTTCGCTGCTCCCAAAAATTCGCTCTCCAAAGGAGACCTAAATGCCCTTCAACGAGCGCTTAACACAAGAGAGAGCGCAGTGACCTATCTCAATTTTGTTCATGAGTGTTCACCGAGGTAATATAGCCTTATAAAAAGTAATTACTTAAAATGTAGACAACAAAAAGTTCCACTGTATTTTGGCTTTTAAAATTGCCATTATACTCAATAGCAAGAACACATAATATAGTAGTATAGAAATGTAAACAAATAATACTACATGAATAAAATCTAAGTCAGCCAGCTTCGATTACTCATAACAGCCACAAATGACCATCATCATAAGGAAGTGTCAAGAGGACCCTTGCGCACAACATAACGGACTTGCAAAAGCCTCCCACAACAACTAGCAAGAAGAGCCGTGAACCGATTACTGAATAGTAAGTTTGAGTCTACATCATAACGTTTCCATTCGACGTCGAATTAACTCGATTTTTGCACCTACGAAGAGCCCGTGAACCGATTGTTGCAAAAATGCAATTCGATTATAAAAACAAAGTGTCGGGATAGCGAATTTTCTATAATTGGACCTAAAGAACGGTCATGAGATTTTCTTTGTTAAAAATATGATCCCCATGATCAACCTAATTATATACATGATTAGAAAGCTCTAAACTTTACGACGTCAAGCATTTCAAATCATTTTACATTAAAATTTGTTTTTCTGTCTCGAACTAATAAATGTCTAAGGTGGCACACCACAGGTCGGAGTACTCCAGCCATTTAAGGAGAATGATAGTGAGAGAAAATGAAACAGAGAGCAATTCAGAGAGAAAGGTGAGAAGAGACACAATTGTGTAGCATGCCGATATAAATCATGCCGTAGTTGACAATCTTGTTGATCCTCCTGATGCTGTGCGTGACCGCTTCAACCCAAGCTTGGAAAACTACTATACCTGCCTACTTGATAGTAGCGGTAGCGAGCCGAAGCAAACGTAATGTTTACTTTCACCATCCATCCCTTAAGTTCTTTCTCGTTGTTTTTTTTTCTTCCTCGGAGGGAAGGAATATGTGGACAGGAGATCCTCACCA